TCATGGAACAACTATAGGAAGAAATTACTTCATATGTCAGAGGAGTTCACTTTGGAATAGATTCAGAAGCACCTTAGGATCGAGGAGGAAACTCTAATCTGTGACAAGGATATGAATTCGGAGGCACCATCAAGTTCCAAAGTGAATGTTGTGGAGAACAAGAAAGGAAAGAAGAGAAAGGCCATGAATAATTCCAACAACAAGACCAACAACCAGAAGAATAAAAAGAAGAAGTCGTCCCCTATGTCCACTAAGAATTGCTTCAATTGTGGGCAATTGGGACATAATGTTTGCTTCTGTCCTAATCCAAAGAAGAACCAGAATGAAGAGGCTGCAAGTGCAAATGTGATTGAGAAAGTTGAGCCTAGTGAGATTGTTGCAATGATTTCTGACTTACGTGTGAGTATGATTCAGGAATTGCACATGGCTGGAGTCATGACCAGCGCTGATTGGTGGTATGATTCAGGGGCAACTGATCACATATGTAACAAGAGAGCCATGTTCAAGGATTACACAGAGTCGACAGAGAGACATGAGGTTCTGTTGGGTGATCATCGCACGATCAAGGTTCTTGAATCTGGAACCGTGGAGCTTTTCTTCACTTCGGGGAAGAAAGTTGTTCTTACCAATGTCCTTCACGTTCCTGATGTTAGAAAGAATTTGGTTTCTAGTTTCATGCTTTGTAAGAAGGGCATAAAGGTTGTGATAGAATCTGATAGGGTGATTCTGAACCAAGGCTGGTATGTTTGTTGGGAAGGGCTATGTTAGTGATGGTATGTTTAAGCTAAGTGTTGACAATGGTAATATTAATAATAAAGTTTATGGTTCTGCTTATATCGATGTGCATGCGAATTATAGTGTAGAAAGTACTTCGTTTGATTTATGGCATAATCGTTTGGGGCATGTTAACTTTAAGACTCAGAAATACATGTCTAGAAATGGATTAGTAGTTTGTGGTGATAACAGTGGAGATAAATGTGAATTCTGTGTGCAAGCTAAGATGAAGAGAAAGGCATTTCCTAAGTTGGTTGACAGAAATTCAGACTTATTAGAATTAGTACATTTCTGATATTTGTGAATTTCATGGTCAATTAACTAGAGGAGGATGTAAGTACTTCATTACTTTCATTGATGATAGTACTCGATTTACCTATGTCTATTTAATGCAAACCAAGGATGAAGACTTTGATAAGTTTAAATTGTATAAATCTGTTGTCGAAACTCAAAAGGTAGGAAAATACAAATCCTTCGAAGTGATAGAGGTGGAGAGTATTTTCCTAATAACTTTAACGAGTTTTGTGAGCAACATGGTTTGATACATCAAAGGACTACTCCTTACACCCCACAGCAGAACGGAGTAGCAGAAAGAAAAAATGGAGTTCTTTCTGACATGATTAATGCTATGTTGATTAATGCCAGTGCTCCAAACAATTTGTGGGGTGAGGCTTTGCTAACAGCCTGCCATGTACACAATATGATTCCGTCTAAGAAGCTAAGGGAATCTCCCTATGAGTTGTGGAAGGGAAGGAAACCGAACTTGAGTTATCTTAGAGTTTGGGTCTGTCTTGCTTTCTATAGAGTCCCATATCCTAAGAGAACTAAGTTAGGTCCATGGGCTTTGAAAGGTGTTTTCTTGGATATGCAGAAAACTGGAAAGCATATAGGGTTCTAGATTTAGAATCTAATGTGTTTGTGGAATCGAGAGATGTTGAGTTCTTTGAAAACAAGTTTCGACGTGACTCTGCAAATGTAGAACCATGTCGAGTTACTTCTGCAGATTCCTTAAATGATTCTATCTCTACTCCCGCTTTTGACATTGGTTCTAGTAGCAAAAGGCCTTTAGATGACCATGTTGCTAATGAACCACGAAGAAGTCAAAGGGCTAGAAAGGAAAAAGTTTTGGTCCAGAATTTATTGATCCTCAAGTTATAGTCTTTCTTGTAGAGGGAGATAGGTTAAATAAGGTTACAAGAAAGATACCCATTTTGTTCCATGTGCGAGACGATCCCAAAACCTATCAAGAAGCAATGGCTTCTAGAGATTCTGCTTTTTGGAATGAGGTTGTTAATGATGAGATGGATTCGTTATTAACGAATAAGACTTGGGTTCTTGTGGATTTGCCTCCTGGATCTAAAGCTATTGGATGTAAATGGGTATTTTGCATTAAGTATAACACAGATCGATCAATACATACTTTCAAAGCTAGATTGGTTGCAAAAGGGTTTAGGCAAAAGGAAGGAGTAGATTGCTTCGACACCTATGCACCAGTTGCAAGAATAACTTCCATAAGAGTGCTTTTAGCTTTGGCTTCTATTTACAATCTGCATGTACACCAAATGGATGTAAAGACGACATTCCTAAATGGTGAGTTAGATGAAGAAGTGTATATGGAGCAACCATAAGGGTTCGTGTTGCCTGGAAATGAAGGAAAGGTGTGTAAATTACAAAATTCATTGTATGGACTAAAGCAAGCACCTAAGCAATGGCACGAGAAATTTGATTATGTTGTCTTGGCTCATGGATTTTCTCACAACTCTGCTGATAAGTGCATTTACTCAAAGTGCACAAAAGAGTATATGGTCATTATATGCCTTTATGTTGATGATATGTTGATAATAGGAACTAACATGAAAGGCATAAATGAGACAAAGGAGTATCTAACTTCCTGCTTCCAAATGAAAGATCTTGGAGAAGTAGATACTATATTGGGCATCAAAGTAAAGAAACATAGTGGGGATTTTGCTTTGAGTCAGTCACATTATGTCGAGAAGATGCTCAAGAAATTCGAGCATTTGGATATAAAGGAGGCTAACACCCCTTATGATGCTTCTTTTAAGCTTTGTGCGAATGAGGGAAGGGCAGTGGCACAAGTTGAGTATTCTAGTGCTATTGGAAGTTTGATGTATGTAATGGGTTGTACTAGGCCTAGTATTGCATTTGCGGTGTGCAAACTTTCTAGATTCACTAGTAATCCTAGTGTTGGTCATTGGAAAGCTATAGGAAGAGTCTTTGGTTATTTGAAAAGAACCAAAGATTTTGGACTCTTCTATAGCAACTTCCCTGCTGTTCTAGAAGCATTTTCTGATGCTAGTTGGATTACGAGCACTAGTGATAATAAATCCACAACAAGATGGATTTTTACACTAGGTGGGGGAGCTGTTTCTTGGGCTTTGAAGAAACAAACATGTATTACACACTCCACTATGGAAGCCGAATTCCTAGTCCTTGTGGCGGCTGGAAAAGAAGCAGAATGGCTGAGAAACATGTTGTTAGATATAGAGTTGTGGCCACAATCGATGCCAGCCATTTCTGTCTTCTGTGATAGTGAGGCTACATTGTCTAGAGCTTATAACAAGATTTACAATGGTAAATCTAGACACATTAGCCTAAGACATGATTAAGTTAGGTATTTGATTACTAGCGGAATCTTTTCTATTGTGTATGTAAGGTCTTGCAACAATTTGGCAGATCCTCTTACGAAGGGGCTGCCAAGAGGCATGATCTATGAGACATCCAAAGGGATGGGATTGAGACCTTTTGTATTTTCAGGGGTAATGGAAACCCAACCTTTTCTTTAGGTATTCACTAATTAAAAGGTTCAATGTAGTAATAACAAGTTACTCTAACTGGGAACTAATTTATTGTATAAGTAAATTAGTTGTAAGAAGGGTGAGTTATAGAAATCTTAATGACGTTCGTTTGGAATGTCACCTATGTGAGCATTAGGAGTGGTGCCGCTCTAACAGAAGTACATGTCAACTTTTGTATATTCTCAAGAAACAGGATCAACACATGGCCATAATAGTGCTACCCTTGTTGGTGGTTGTGTTTTAGAGAAGAGACAAGTACGTGTGTGGTGTCTCCGGTTCTAGTTTTGGATCTTGACTCCTAGGCTTAAGTCCGTCATTGATTCGCTATGAACTTTGAGATGCTTACACTAAGTAAAGGTTCAAATCGAAAAGATACCTTTATGTATGCGTTACTTGTTCGAGGCAGGTATTCTCGACTCTTGTTGACTAAGTGGGGGATTGTTAGAGTAGTCAAAAGAGTTAAAGGAAATACCACATTGGTGGGAAAAGGAAAGTGCAAGTGATTTTTAAGTTTGCTTTCCACTTTAGTTTATTGGATAAAGTGGTTAGTGGGCTTTTGGAAAAAGTGTGTGCTATTTAATTTGACATATTAAATCAAACTACGCACTTAGCACGTTTGCGCGACGCGTTCGGATTTGAATTTTTGGCTAATTAATTACTGAAATTATTTTAATTAATTAATCCGGATAATTATTTGTTTTTGACTTTTGTGAAACGACGTAACCCTTCGAAAGGGAACTTCTGTTTTCACTATAAAAGCCTTCTGCAACCAGACTTCTCGTCCAACGTTCATCTTCTTCTCCTCGTTTTTCTTTTCCGAAAACACAAACACAGAAGTCGGAAAGATTGCTGCTTTCGAACTTTGGTTGAAGGGACCCCTGGGGGTGGTTTGCCTAATTCCTACCAGCAACGACGTAATGGAGGCAAATAACACTCTAAGGAGAGTGATTAATCACGCCTTCAATCCGTTTCTTCCTAAAATTTTCCTGACAGATACCGTATTCACAGGTTCCACGGATATTTCAGCTGCCTGCAGAACACTGCATGCGCCAAATTTAGTAGATTCGAGACCCATTTTCGTTTTGGTGGAAAGATCCTTCCTAACTAGTCTCTTGTATTATTGTAGACGTATTGATACCATTTATTAATTCGTTGACTAATTGTTGTTTGGCTTGTTGCAACTTGCTGTTCCCTAGTATCTCCATCATTTGATCCTAATTCATCATCATAATAACAAAAATAAATTCATTATTATACAAAATAAGTTCAACATATTATTGTGAAATTTCCACGTACGAAATTATTAATCAGTTTCTGGTGGCCATGCAAATCTTATACAAGAAATCAGCACTACTTAAGAAGAGAGAGCAGTTCTCTATTTGGTCCATAACTCAATCCCCATCATCAGCAATGGCAACCCTGCAGCTTGGTGAGTATTCCTCCTTCCAGCTTTCCATCGCCATCATCCTTCTAACCTTAACAATCCGAGTTGGGCTCGGATTTATATCCAGCAGCCCAGCCAGATCCAAGAAGAAACCACTCCCACCAGGCCCATGGAAGCTCCCGTTCATCGGCAACATCCACCAGCTGGCAACCTCCACGCTGCCGCACCACCGCCTCCGGGACCTGGCCCAGAAGCACGGCCCAGACCTCATGCACCTCCAGCTGGGCCAGCTGGCCCACGTTGTGGTCTCCAGCCCGGAAGCCGCCAGAGAGGTGATGAAAACCCACGACCTCACCTTCGCCTCCAGGCCCAACCTCCTCGTCTCCGACATCGTCCTGTACGGCCGCATCGGGCCCTACGGCGAGCACTGGCGCCAGATGCGGAAGGTCTCCGCCGTCGAGCTGCTCAGCGCCAAGCGGGTCGGGTCCTTCCGCCCCATCCGCGAATCCGAGGTCGCCAAGCTGGTCGCCGGCATCTCGTGCGGCGGCGCGGCTGGGGCCGCCGTCAACGTCAGCCGGATGCTGGCGGCGACGTCCAGCGGGGTGACATTCAGGTAGTCACGAAGTCAGAAATTTAAATGAGGGGTTATTTTCAATCAAGCTAAATTGAGGATTAAGATCCTAGCGATTAACCTACTAGGAATTTTACATGTAAATTTATCTGTATTTCAAAATTGAGTAGGAAAGGAAATAGCTCTTTCTGAATATAACCGTCACTGTTTTCAGGGCGGCGTTCGGGATGGAGAAGGAGGTGAAGGAAGCCCTGTTCGTGAAATTGGTGACTGACGTCACCGACGCCGTAGCGGCTTTTCGGGTGTCGGATCTGTACCCGTCTCTGAAGTTCCTGCCGTCGTTGACCGGCTACCGGGCTCACCTTACGAGGATGCATCTGGCGGCGGATGAAATGCTGGAGGAGATCATTGGAGAGCATAGAGTAAAGCGAGAAGGGAGGAAGGATTTAGATGATGGTGGTGGTTATGATCAACATCAGACGGAAGATTTAGTTGATATTCTTCTGAATCTTCAGGAGAGCGGTGGGCTTGGATACCCCATCACCATGAACGACATCAAAGGTGTCATTTTCGTAAGTAGAACAATTACCACTTAAACCCCCTTTTCTTTCAAATGTTAGGTATGCACTTCCGCCGTTAATGACTATATATATTTTGTTTTAGGAGGTGTTTCTGGCCGGTACTGAAACTTCAACGAGAACTGTAGAGTGGACTCTGTCGGAGATGATAAAGAATCCAAGAGTGATGAAAAAAGCGCAAGAAGAAGTGAGACAAATGTTTAGTGAAGGAGCAGTCAAGGAAGAAGGTCTTCATAAGCTCAAGTATTTGGACTGTGTTATTCAAGAAGGTTTGAGGTTGCACCCGCCACTGCCTCTGCTTCTCCCCAGAGAGTGTCGAGAAAGGGAAGAGATATGTGGCTATGAGATTCCGAAGAAAACCAAGGTCCTCATCAATGCGTGGGCTATTGGGAGAGACTCTCGTTACTGGACGGAGCCTGATAAGTTCTATCCCGAAAGGTTTATGGATTCCTCACTCGATTATAAGGGAACGAAATTCGAGTTCATTCCCTTTGGTGCTGGCAGGAGGATATGTCCTGGAATTTCGTTCGGTGTGGCTCTCGTGAAAATTATGCTCGCGAATTTGATATACCATTTCGATTGGAAACTTCCAGGTGACGCGAAACCTGAGAATTTAGATATGACGGAACAATTTTCAGCATCGGTCAGAAGAAAACATAATCTATCATTGATTCCCATTTCATATGATGCAATCTCGCACCGAAAGACCAATTGAACAATATGTCTGATGAAGAAAGAGAAGACATATTGGCTTTACTTACTTATGCCCAACTTATTTTTCAGTTTCTACTTTTGTGTGTCACTCATATAGTTCCCAAATGTCAGTGATGTATTTGGACATGATTCAGTTATATATGTAATAAATATTTGTTGGGTATTTGACCTCCTACTTGAAATTTTGTTTCTCTCATCAACTCAACCTATTGGAGAGATTGAAGTTTGAAATTTTGTTTGTCATTTTGACACAATTTAACAGCTTATGCGTTTATGAGTAAAACCTATCAATGAATCATATGTTCATCAACATAACAAGAGATATAAAGCACGAATTCAACTAATTGTACAATTTGGACTCGGTAGTAAAAGTTTGTCACACACGTTTTTCATGGGTATATGTTTATCTTACAGTTTTGCATCGATTATGCATTAATACTATTGATTACTAGAATGCAAATGCATGAACTTTGGTCCAAAGTTCCATATCAAAATTTACTTTGTCTAAATAACTTCAGTTGCTAGAATAAACGACACCATCCAATCACTACGTGGATGCATCAAAATTCTGTTTGGTTACCATCCAAGCTCTACATGGAAGGTACATACCATCCAATCTCTTAACATGGATATCATTCCAAATACTATATGGATTGTGGGATCCATAGCATGAATATCATCTATGGCCTAATCGAATGCTACCATCCTGTCTGATGGTTGCCGTCCATTTTGAAATGATGATTTGTGGATGGTTATTATATATGACATATTGAAGTGTCTTGAGACGTCCTTTGATAGCAACCGACTCACGTAGAGACTACGTTTTGAATGAAAATCATCCCGAGTATATGGTGGATGGTTACTAAACCGACTAGCGTAGATGCAACGTTGGAACTAATTTTCAAGAAAGAGGAGAGAAAGAGAACATAACCGTTTTTTTCTCGTTTAACCCTTCTTTTCCTTTAATTCCTCAATAACCATAGTTGTGAAGCTCTCCTTCTATGAAAAATCTTTATAGTCTTAGTTGTAAACTTGTAGTCGCAGAGCTCTACAAGAATTTTCATATAGGAGTCACAAGAACAATAACACAGATTCCTTTGTATGTATCAAACAACCTCGTTCGAACAGAGTTTTAAAAGATGTGAACCGAATTAGCTATTTTCATCTTCAAAAGAAGTTAGAGCGCATCCCCGTCCACCTTATTTTCCACCATATCAATGCATTGTTTTCATAAACGTATATTAGTTTTATACATGGTTATATTAGGTTGTTACTTATTAGAGGATCACAAGTGACAAATCCATACAAGCTGTTATAAACGCACTGCTACAGATCGGAAACTCGCTGGAATCGACAAAGCAAGAATACGAAAGCCAGCGTAGGCTACTCTTTTTCTGTTAGTCCATAAAGTCGGTCAGTTGAGAGTTTGATCGAGGGCATGAAGGCTAAGGTACCTTCCTAAACTGAGATTTCAATCTCAAAAGTGTTTTCACAACCTTTTTGGCTTCAAGAATGTCCCGTCTAGTGGGAGAAGTGTTAGCTACGTCCACGGCGAGAGAGAGTCAGTTTCACTATATCGAGGAGATTACAGATTACAGAGGAGATGAGAAGTATTTATACTTCTCTATGTGGGTCTAATCCTAATCCAATCTGGTAAGAAAACGGTTACAGATCGACCAGGCCCAGAACCCGAACCCAAATAACATTAAGCCCATACACCGCGGGCCAGGTGCGTTGCCCCCGCACTCCCACTGGGGTGTTGCCCCTGGACCCCACTCGATGACCGGGTAGCAAGACCCCCGACTATTCCAATCATAGCAGATGATAGTCCGATTCAAGTCACATCAACACAAACCATTAACTTCTTTTGTGGAACTTACTAATCCAAGTACGAAGAATAAAATTTCGAGATTCTTAAAGAGTAGTAGAAGCAACAAGCCAAGCATAACATACCTACTAGGCTACTACCAGAGGCGGAGCTACCCTATGGCAGTAAGTTGTTCCTGATTCTTGAAAATTACGTATAAACAGAGTATAAACCATAAAGAAGTAGTCGCAAAATATTTCACATTTACTAGTGCAGCCTAACGGAAGGGTAATCTTATACGGTTGAGGGAATGTTGGTTCGATGCTCATGGCAAACATATTTTTACCTTTAAAAAGAGTACTTGAGGGAATGCTAGTAGCCGTAGGCATTCATTTTTAGCTCTAGAAAATGGTGTAAATTTTGCATTAAACTGGTAGCCGTAGGCATTCATTTTTAGCTCTAGAAAATGGTGTAAATTTTGCATTACATGTTTTAATGTCTCTTTTGAATATACAATGATTAAATTTTTTCTTGTAATAGATTGTACACATTGATTTTTCAGCTATAAAAATCATGAAACATGTTAGGCATTGGAATGTATTATTATTTGTTGGTAATTAAATCATTTACTAGTCAATTGGCCCGCGCTTAGCCGCGGTAACTTTTTTTACAACATTTCATTTATTTTCATCAAACCATGTAATTTAAAAATGATCAATTTAAAAGGCGAAACAAACTTTTCTCACATTTGGGATAATCACATAGTAAATTCATTCATTAACTTTAAAAGCTCTCATCTTCTCTTACCAAAAAAAAAAAGCTCTCATCTCCATATGAATAATGAGTAACCTAAAAAAGTAAGTGTTAATATTTTCGTATGGCCTGAACTTTGACCAAAACAAACATCCTGGCCAATCTTTTCGATCTATAACATCCTGGCCCGAACTATACACCAAAATAAACAATTTGGCCAAACCCGATGTTTGACCGTTCACTTGGACGGTCAAACGCGTTGACTAACGGTCAATGCGCCACGTCACTGCCAAGTCAGAAGATCTGATAAAGATTTAATTTTTTTTCGTTTTTTATTTTTGGTTTAACTATGGTATTAGATGATTTTTTTTAATTTATAATAATTTAAAATTAGAGAATGTGTGGAAATTGTGAATTATTTTAAATATTTTATGCTAACTTGGCAGTGACATGGCGCGTTGACTAACGGTCAACGCGTTTGACCGTCCAAGTTAACGGTCAAAAGTCGGATCTGGCCAAATTGTTTATTTTGGTGTATAGTTCGGGCCAGGATGTTATAGATCGAAAAGATTGGCCAGGATGTTTATTTTGGTCAAAGTTCAGACCATACGAAAATATTAACCCAAAAAGTAACTTGAAAGTAGAGCAAGCATTGTGATTTGTGTGCCCTTTTCTTGTTTGGCTTAGATGTTGAATCTTTCTTACGAAGTTCTTTTATGTGTTTGAATGAAGCAGTTCACCCATATATATATATATATATATATATATATATATATATATATATATATATAAAAGGAAGTACAAAAAGCATATACAATAATAAGATTATCATTATTATAAGTTTCATTAATTTGTCATGCTCAAATCATAAGTCATCATTAGGAGTTATTGAAATTTGAGAACTTGACCTTTGGCCTTGAAAAATAGCAATACCAAATCATGATCAAGTTTGTTCAATTACTTGTTTTGTTTGGATAATAACAAATATGAAATTTAATTTCATATATGACATATTGAAGTTAATATGAATACTTTCAAAACACGGAGTATTTCAATCGATCATATGCATCATTGTTATTTGTACATGGCTTATTATAAAATTTTGAATATATCAATAAATGATATGTAAATGCATTCTAAGTTTTATTCTCAATTAATTACTATAACATATATATCAATTTTTCGTCCAATCCACAATGATCTCTAGCTCTGTACTCGGCTGCTTGTCTTCCCTTATTCTTTTCCTGCCACCCAATTTTTTGTCTCTGATGATGAGAGTGAGAGAAATGAGAAGGGAGAGAGAGGAGATGGAGGAGGCTTGATTTAGTGGGAATGATGATGTGATTGGTGATTGCTTGTGATTGGTGATTGCTTGGAATATAGGAAAGAGAGAGGGAAGTAGGGTTTTTTTTACAAAGTAGGTTGATGGGTTTGGATGGGGAAAATCCAAAAAGTAACGTTGGGGTGGTACAGGTGTGGCTCTTCTTTTGTAAGCCCATGCATGTGAAAGGGATTTGAAAACAATCACTGGCCACGCTTGTTTTACCCAATGTGGTGAAAGTGGGCTTACATGAAAACGCCTGCATGTGATCAAAAAACCTGTAGTGAACAGTAACTTTCGATTTTTTCTTAAGGAACAGTAATTTCGATTTTTGGTAATTTTTTAGGACTTGTGGTTTAATAATTCTAATAATAGTCAAAATGACATGATAATTTATTCGTCATCTAATTGTCTTAAAAAGTGTCTTGGGCGATTTTGATGATTAAAAGTACTCTTTTTAAAGTTGGTATTATATTTTTGTGTTTTTTTTTGCCTCTTAAGGATAAACATTTTCGGCCCCGAAACTCGAATTCTGGCTCCGCCCCTGCCTACTACCAGATAGTGGGTACTGGACTTGTTAGACGATCACAGCTGACTAACTGACACAATCCATACTAAATCATTGACTTCTTTTGTGAATGTTATTAGTCTAAGGACAAAGAATAAAATTCTCGAGATTAAAGGAGTAGTAGAAGCAATAATCCAAGCATAAGATACCTACCCATTAGTATTTAAAGGATGTTTATTATGTTTTATGACCTAGATAATTTGGCATTGTCTACGTACCTTTATTTAATTTTCATGAAACTAGAAGACATGCCTTTCAAAACAAATAGATTAGTAGGTGATAAACTATGTACTAAGTTCGTATAGTAAACAAATGACATCAGTCTGTTAGACTAATAACGTACAATTGATCACGATCCATATGTAGCAAGTCATTCAACTAACTTAATTTTAATTATCAAGATTTGTTATTTCAAGGATGAAGAATCAAATGCTTAGGGATTCGTGAACGAGGAGCAGCAGCAAGAAGCCAAGAACAAGTTGACCAACGAAATGAGGGCTAATTATAGCTTAGAGATTCTCGTGAGTGGTAGCAGCAAGAAGCCAAGAATCC